TTTGTGAACATAACTTAATGGCATCTAATTTTATTTATAATTTACACAGGAAAACAATTTTCCAATTGAAATTTTCCAAATAACGAAAATTATAAAATCGAAACTGAATTGACTCCCCCATAACTTATAAAATAAAATGATTTTCTACTACATTTACTAAAAAGTAATTTCGTTTTTAATAACCCAACAAATTTATGAAATTACTTTCCAACCCAATACAGGAATCTGGCAATCATTACAAAACCAATAAAACAGTAAAACAGGAATTGATTTTTCAAAATAAAAATTGAATTTCTACACACAAGATTTTCGAGAGGAACAGAAATAAAAATGGACGTTCGATGAGCAAATCGATTTACACGCGAGTTCTATGAGAACGTGAATATTTGGCAGAGGCGTGATTGGTACCTTGGCAAGCTTAATCGGCTTTGGCCGATTCGTAAGGTACACAATGAATCGCGTGATGGCGCCAGACCAACGCTAACCCCGGTTCTGTAATCCTCGCGACGGCAATTTATATTAATTAGCCCGTTGCCCGGGGCCGTTCCCGTTCAACATAAATTAGCGGGGGCTAATGATGAATGTCAGGTATAAACGTAACATTATGCGACCGCTACGTGGACGAGTGTCCAAACTGGAATTCGTGCTCACCCAGGCATGGATGCTCTGGTTATGTCCTCCGACGTACACACTAATCAGCGTGCTAGCACCGTTTCCAGCACCGCACGCGTACCGTTACAGCCACGGAATCAAAATTAGAACAAAGATTATTTATCAAATTTAAGACTCTTTTTTCCATTTGTAAAACAATTCAGAAATCCTTTTTTTATAACCTCTTCCTTCTATCCCAGATAGTTGTAAGTTTGATTGCTTGAATAACGAATCTTGTCGGTTGGGAAAAAAATAATGTTGAAATAAAGAGGAAGATAAAAAAATATTTTTTGTGAAATTGCTTTTCTTTGAACCTTTCCTTGAGTTTTAGATCATAAGTTTGTCCTTAACCCTTTGCGGGCTGAGCACTCGTGGCGTATGCAGGTCCGTACGGACGGCGCTCGGCTGACGCTGATGTTCGCTGGGGACTGAACACTTTTTCGCCCAGTATGCATCTCATTAACGGTGTATGACACATTATAATATAGTATACAATCGAATTATATATGTGGGTGTGTGTGTGCGTGTATATATGCAT